CACAGCTGCGATGGCTTGGGCATGTGTTGCGAATACCTCCAGAAAGGAAGGCTAAGCAACTGTTCCTTGCAAATCCGACCGGCAGAGGGCCCAGGGGACCGGACCTCCAAGGTTAACCTGGTGCAAACATATGGAAAGAGTCTGTTGCAGACTCCACTTGTCTTTTGCCGAAGCTCAGACTCTGGCACAGGATCAGGAACGTTGGAAGCTCTGTCTGACGTGTCTGCCTCCGCGACGCAAAAGGAGAAGCGGCAATGGAAGATGAAGATGAAGGTATATGGTTTTAAATTTTAGTCCACAAGGGGAAATATCCGGCATGGCATTATCATAACAGTAATTTAAACCGCGCATCGTTTAGCATAACATATAAATTTAACAATTTCTGGAACGATCTCACCGTTGGCATATTTTCCTGGCCGATAATAGATCACTGGCATGCCATTTTTATCCCGACTAGCTAAGCCAAATTTACTGTCTGTTTAAGATTTGTATTCACGTCTCCGTTGTATTCTGGTTCGGATTTGTACTAGGGACATTTGCCTCTTGTTTTTTTTAAGATTAATGAAAGAAAACCATCCGTTATGCCTAGGAAATGAAAACAAATACATCGCGTAATGCGCAATGACCAGAAGGAAATTAGGAGCAAATATGCATGCATTCTTTCGCTGTAATCAGAAGCTAACGAGTTTTTGCTTATCAGAAATATGTCAGTATGCCACTGACAGATATTCATTAAAAGTAATTACGTGCTTTACAGCACCATTAAATAAAATTTGTTCGCAAAATAATTGTAAAAAAATATTTATAGTGTGGTCCTCTTCATTTATGCCTTCAGAATAAACATTAGTAAAATGGAGCCCCTATGTTCTGTGGAAGCTATCGATATATTACATTAAAACTATTGATTACTGATTGAAACGGCGAATGCACTGTTCAAAGAAATAAAAATCAGTCTCTCTCTTTACACCAGCAGCTCCGTTGCACTGCCCCTCTCCTGTCACTCATTCGTCAGCTCTTTTGCCACGTTCTTTGCTTGAATATACTTCTGTTTGATTCATGTTTGAGACGCGCTCCTACGCCCTATGGAGCTGTTGCCTGTTTAAATGCCTCCAGGCGTCTAGAAGCAAAGGGGCGGTACAACAGAGTTGCTGTTGTAAAGTGAGAAAATGATCTTTCTTTCTTTACACTGTGCATTTTCGCCGTTTCAATCCGGCATCATTATTTTTAGTGTGAAGCATTGACGAAACTTACGTTAACGTATAATGCTAGAAGCAGATCATGGAAATGCACGGATTAGTCATATCCTAATAGTGACAAACTTTCTCTCCTTATTTTCCTTTATACCATCATAAAAGTGATCATCTTTACCTTTCAGGTTATACATCAGTGGTCACTCACGTTCATAAAATGGACGCAAACTGATAAAAAGTTCGAAGAAAAGAAAAAGCCTGCACATCCAAGCAGTAGATATAATTTATTGACAAATTCATGCTTAAAATAATTAACGCCAGAGTACAATGAATGGCACGTAATTACTAGGCTAGATTTCAAGGTTTATTTTACCCCTTCTCTTGTTCTTAGTTGCCCATTGGGAGCTATTTAGAAAGGCCAGGTCTCCGTGGCATTTGAACAACTGCAGTGCCTGATGAATCATTTTCTCTGTTGCAGTGATCACGGTCGGCATTTCAAGAGTTATTACTCACTATATGCCATTGCATAAGCATAAATATTAAATAATGTTCATAAATAGTTTTTGACAAAAGTTTTACCTTCTGGTCTGCAGAGCGATTTCCTCAGACAGGTCTGTCTGGTTTCGATGTAGATGCGTTACGGGCGTCTCGGCCAATACGAATGAGCTTTGGCTGTACGTTTCGTTGGCTATAAAAACTGCATTGGTACTTGCCTTCAGTGCGTTGTCGCAGTACGACAGAATACAGAAATAAAAACTGGCTAGCAAAGTTCGGTACGGCAGAAACGTTGTGCTTGTCCACAATGTGGATATGAAGACGAAGAATATTCGTCGCGCAGTCCTGGTCTTGGGCTTGTTTAAGGAGCGGCTGAATTGAGGGGCGTCGCTCAACCTGCGAATTTCTTTAATGCGTTTCTGTCCTTTCCAGAATATGTAGACACTGATGAACAGCGACAGAAATAACGGCAACGTGTAGAACACCAAAATCATGCCCGCATAATAAGTCGGTAAAATATCGATCAAGCATTGGATGTTCTCGTCGTGAATATACTGTACTGGTCCGAGGTAGAACGTCGACACGCAGTAAACGAAAACGACCGACCACGAGAGACATACCTCAAAAAATTTAGCCAATTTCACAACGTGTAAAGTACAGCGTTTGATCCTGCTCTCTTTATGACAATTACGATGCTAAAGCGTTTCTCGTTCGCATCGGCAGGCGCAAAAAACAACGTACAGAAGGTGGTGAAATGAAATCCACCATCCTTACTGGTGGTCATTAAGGCAGCAAAGAATGGCTAGCTGTTTTTGTTAGAATTGTGCCCACATTATTCCGCTGTGCTGTACTCCCTCTACGAATTTCTAGAGAATATGACGTGTTTATGACGTGTTGAGAGCGGCTCAGAAACGGTGTCTCATTTGCACGTATGTGTAAAGCATTTAGCTTCTCACCGACGGCGTATAAAATTTGGACAAAATCGTGTAGCTTGAATATACTCCTCAACAGCATTTGTTAACTGACTTCTTTATTAACAACCATAGTCATAAAACATCGTGTAATTCCTATTTCTCTTTCTTGTCTACCATTGATTCTTGTGATCTATATCTTTGAACATTTATAATCGATTAGGCTTTGGTGAACGTTGCTGAATAATTCAATGAACCATACGAGTACTAAAAATAGGCAAAGTTACTGCTTATTAACACGTTTCGATATTCCTTCTATTGAACAACACCGCCTACATTCTGTACTTGACCGATCTTACTTCATAAGTAATGGGGGCATCATCATTACCTTTTACCGATGTCCACGTTCTTCTGTCTTTCGCAATTTCCATATCCGTCTAGCTGACATCTTCGAATTGAACGCATACAGTACCTTTGGTACCAATCTGTCACCGATGAAGTCAGTCGATCGTCTGTCAGTCGTGTGATGCAGTCCATCTTGATCAGATTAACGATATATACAGCGGAAGGGAGCCCATTTTGTTTGAGCTTTCCATTTCCGCCGTTTTTGGTCAATAGCGTTGAGCTACTGTCTAAGCTTGCCAGACGTCTTTGACGTGGCGTTCGTTTGCCTTCACGCTGGCCGTGTGTGCTTTCAGGTGACGGTATTGTGAGGTTTGGTGAGGTTTGGTGAGGTTTGGCTCTTTTAGAGTTTTTTTCAGTGGGTTCTGGCACAGCTACATCTTCTCAGACGGCTTCCCTTCCGTATCACATACTGGTAACTCATCTCACGAAGCACATTCTGTGTGGTATTCTCACATTTGACGTTCTTAAGGACATGGCATAGCTTTGTTTTATCTTTTCTTATGATCTAGCTCCATAACCAAAAAATTAAATTAAGGTTACAGGAAACGTCGAGACAAATCTAGATCAATCAAAAGTCGGCAAACTGCATTTTGAAAAATGAAAAATCCATCTAATGATTAATGACTGAACGAATGAGCGATGAAGCTATGAATAATAAAAGATGCTGTTTAACGTTTGATCATATTGCATATAAGTTTCCTGGCAACGAAAATATTTCACAGATCTTTCTTCGCAATTAACAGGAACCATGACTGCAGGTCTCGATACTAACTTCCTATGTCCTATGCGATCTATTGCCACAAATATCGATATTTCCATTTCGTTCAGCTCATCGTCAAATTGCGACATCAGCGTCAGTTCGTCACTGCTGAACTCCATCGGTCATCTGTCAGCTATGCGATATATGTAATTCGCTGTAATCTGACTTGAGCTGCATGAATGCAGCCCATTTCTGTCCGTACTTTCCATTCCATTCGATTTTTACTAATGGTCTTCGATTCCCACCATATCTGCCAGACGACTTGAACAGAATTTCCGTTTGCTCGTCAGCCGGTCTGACGAGCTTCAGCAAAGCTTAGTCCATTCACAATTTTCTTCTGATAGTCAGGGCAGACAACCACCTATCTTCCGATAATTTGCCCCCCCCCCACTCCTTTACACCACTGAGCGGTATTTCGTATCGCCGATATCTGAATTGCTGATTCAATTGTTTAAATTATTATTCACAAGAAAGTTTAAACTTCAAGCCGAAATCTTCTCTGATTTCCAGAAACTTCTGAATAGTCAAATGCTCTTATTGCATTGAAAGACATGTCTGACGATGAACCTAGCATTTACAATATTTTGTGCTCTAACATATGTGCACGTTTTTATGAACATTAAACTTGTACAGATGTATGGAATGTGTTTGTTCCAGGCTACAGATGTCTTCTGCCGAAGCTCAGACTCTGACACACGACTGGGAACTTTGAAAGCACTGTCTGATGCGTCTGTCTCCGCGACCCGAAAGGAGAAGCGGCCATGGAAGACGAGTGAATGAATGAACTTGCACAGAGAGCCATGAAAAATATGTTGATGTTAACTAGACATTTAGATCTGTTGCTCTAATAACAGTTAATATCGAAAGAAAACTGGTTCGACGTTGGATCTGTGTCTAAGGACATTTTCATAATTGCATGTCGACAAAAAATGAATAAAAAAAGTTAAATTTTGACAGGATCTCAAGCACAGCTTTGGTTTGACTGATCAGTTTCTAAAAGATTTTGCTGCATAGCGGCAGCTTTTTCATAACAATGGTTGAAACAATGGAAGTCGTCCGTCAAAATTAGCGGTTAGGAGAATCAGTTCAGAAAGCACGAGCGTCCATGTTGGAAGGTGAGGGCATAAGAATGCGCGCAGGAACCATTGCTCATTGTTATGGGGTATCAAAGTCGATAATGCACGCTGTTGACGGTCGTTGTTTCTGACCATTTCTTGCACGAAAACTTTGACGTCCAATCTCTGTTTCTAGTTCTCTCACAATTCCGGTCCGGTCGCATTATCAGAGATCCACAAGGCCAGGTTGGTGGCCTTCTGAAATTGAAAACAATATCGGTCACCAGGAAAGCAATGGCGGATTTTCGCTAGTTAGGACATGAGCCGAAAGTTCGGTAGCGACTTGTTATCTTGAGGGACCATTATTTTTCATAATTTTTATGTTTCTTAGGGAACGCTCCTCCGAGAAATTTTATTACAGTGATTACCGACGTATCGAGCAATTCTTGGTTCGATGTCAAGGTAAAATAAAATAAGCAGATCTGATAGAAGCCACATCGCTGGAGTCAAATTTTTGTCCATAAACGTCAGAGTAGATATTAATTTTGACCGATTTTATTACTAGCTATCCTCCAGATATTGCTGAGGTCCATATCATTATGCCATTATCATTGTTTAAACATTTGCAAACTTTGATGAATGAAAATAACTCATAGTTCATTGCGTCACAGATTGCGTTGGAGTGCTGCAAATCTGTTTCACGATTTTGACGACACTGCTGAACAACAGCAGAGTCATTTTCGCTTTTGGAATTGATTATTATGTAGTAATTAAGGACCTTACTAAACCTTTTGTCAGCAGATATCAAAGATTCAGTTCTGCTGAATATGGCGCTCGTAAAGAAATCGAGTTACATCAGGAAAGCATTGAAAACGCTGGTCATCCCAAACTCTCTGCTAGAAGAAGCCATTCATACGTATGAACCCGCCTAACCATTCATACGGTAGAGAGGTAAAAGCGATGACGTTTCCGGGGTGAGGATAACTCGTTTGCCTTGTGAACATGAGCAAAAAGTACGAAAGATCGCTTACGTGTCGGTCTAAAAATGTGTTTAAGTCTAAACTCACCACAGGAATCACCAGACACCAAACGAAAATGCCGCTGCACATACAGTATCGATAAGTCTACTGCATTCCAGGCATTTACAATAAAGTATAAATCAGCAAAATTAATTCAGTAGAGGGTAATTCAACAGAGGAAAGAAGAAATCAGCATAACTTTTCACAATGTAACTACGCTACCTTGAGACAAGAGGGCAATACGCAATAAGGACGAGGAAGGAGGCAGACGAAGAATCCTATAGAAATCCAATCAAGACGCAAAAGTGACTCAGTATTGTGCAACATTGTGCAATCTGGCCGAGGGAAACAACAGATTAGAAAGATCTGAGAAACTATGCACACCTAGTCCGACAGATGCTTGAACAAGGACACCGGCATGGATATGAACAATATTTGTTCGTCGGCTATAAGTAAATAATTGCCAGCATTCATCTCTGCTTGGCCTTTATGGCCCTGAAATTTTTCTCAGCTATTTCACCTTAGCCAAACATGTTTTTGTAATCGTTCCTTGATAACAATCAGAGCTGGGGTCGAATCATCGGTGATTTACACGCAACTTGGTGCTTATAGGGAGCAATCAAATATGAAGCACGAAGACCATGGAACTGATCTCTCGCATAATGAAAGAACGTTCATTTTTCAAGTTTACGAACCATTTATTTCGCATATTGAATACGTCGTCTTGTTCCTTCGCAATAAACCATGATATGAATATCAGATTTCATTTTCTGCGCAGTCTGTAGATTGTGCAACAATAAATTTATAATTAATGCAAAACGGATTAGAATTTTTCTGGTTATAGTGAGTTTGTTCGCTTAAACGTGATATCTATTAATTCCTTCCAGTGGTCATAATCTCAGTAGTCGATTAGGATTGTCAACTCATTGCACGCTTTGACGACACGCAGACCACAGACATCCATCCTTCGATTAGGATGGTCATTTCGTCATTTTCCATTGCCACTCTCACAACACTGATATTGAGATGGAGGTTAGAAGAGGTTATTTATTACAGATAAATGATTTGTCCTCATTCTTGTAACTTTATACTTTTTTTTCTGGTTTTGTTAATAAGTGAATAATAACTTACAAAGTACCAAACATCAGTATGACAGGCTTCATAAGCGAATTAATAAGGTCATACCTGCGTACGAACCGATCTTTCGGTGACCAGCAAGCTGTACTTGAGCGGGTATCGAATGCTGATGAACTTGTCGATGTTAAGCAACAAAAGGAAGATAACAGACGAGATCTGACAAGCCCACAGAAGTACGTAGTACGGCCCGCAGATCCAACGTGGCAAGTAGCGCGTGTATAGTCTGGTGCTCATGTACACTATGCCGTACAGTAGGTCAGCCGCACTCATGCTTATGACAAACCGTTGGTTGAGTCGCGTCGTCAGGTCGATGTAGCAACAGGCGATGTACAAAACCACAGCATTGAAGAACACCGTCAATGGAGCGCAAACCAACGTGAATATGTCAATGATGAAGTCGATCTCCTCCTGGAACTGAGTGTCGTTCTTCTGCACCAAGCCCATGTCTACAACAACTGATCATCTTTCATGCGGTTCAGCCTCAACCCTCTTTCAGCACGGTGAATCTGAACACTCAAAATGCTTTTATCAAAATAGCTTCCAAAAGATTTGCAGCAAGTCATTCAGTTCAATCAAATCTTACCTTAGTACCAGGCATTACATATCACACTTTACTGTAAGGAACAATTAATACAGGACCTGTTTGTAACTCTATAGATAATTGTCCATATAAAACCCTAAGTTGAAAACTAAGACGATTTATTAGAAATTACCCCCATTTTTGATACACTTTAAATCATACACGTACATAACCGAAAACTTAATAATTTATGATGACATTGTACTGATGGTTAGTTAACTTCCACAAGTTTTGCTTCATTGGCAAACGAAATCACGTCAAGTTGTTCTAAATAGGAAATTCATTTTATTTTATAGACAGACCACAACAGATTTTAGAGTTACGTTCCCACAAAAATTTTAATGACAGATTTTACGCATGTAAAATGTAACCCACCCTATTGCTTACTTGTTTACTGTGCAAATGTGTTGTATCAAAGGACAATTTCGTTAGTTTCATCCACAGGAAACACAGAAAAATTAAATTTCCATATGTAATTATTAATGCACAGTAATAAATAACAGTATAAATTGGATTAAAATAGAAAAATAAAAGTATTTTTGATTTAACCGTTCAATCTTCCTCTTGAAACTATCAGACTGACGATAGCTTTCTTCATCTCTGCATTTATCATTCGACAAAAGATTAAAGCCAATATATTTCTTTGGAACTTTTAAAAACCTTGAGGCTTCAAGGTCAGTTTTCTTCATTTGTGTCATT